CGATACGTTAGGCTCCTAGCCTCATGAGCATAGCAAAAAGAACGGAACATAAGCGTTAGTTTCGATAATAATAAACACACAAGACAAAATGATCACTTTTTCCGTGGATGATTCCTTTAAAGGACGAATTCACGACGAAAAAGCAACCCATTTCAAATTAACTCAGGGATGGTGGTTGGTACACGAAAGAAGAAAGAACCATGAGAAACGGCCCAGAACCCGAGAAATGGGATCCCCTTCCTTCCCCGCTGACTTGCGCATTGATGCAACTCTTATCGCTGTGCCCTCCTCAACATCACGCTCCCTCTGCTATCTAATCAATCCCACCTATAGATCTGCGGCGAGTGATCAGCTGGTCGGTGGGCGGAGATCGCCAGACTCGCCAACTTTGAGGCATAATAGGTCGCCGAGGTCAAATTTTTCGATGCGAATTGCGCGTCAGTTCGCACCCTCAGGAGGTCCATGGGTCCCTCAACTAGGTTAGTTTCCCTTTCTTCGACCTTCATTCTAATCGTGAATTCCTCCTTTAAGGTATCGTTTTCTGTCGGAATGAAGGCGGAGCTTTTCCGTGGAAGATTCCTTTAAATGACGAAGAGTGCGGTGGTTACTGAGCACCCTTCATCGAGAACCTTTCTCACCCTAAGCGATCTACCCACTAGTTTGATTGTTGAACAGGAGAGCGCCTTTCTCGCCATTTTCGTACCATGGAGCATTCACACATTTTCTCTGAATTCCTTCTCAACTGTATATCGTGATCTCTGCCTTTACCCCATTAGGATTAAATTCTTAAGATCAAAAAGTAGCGTAGACGTAGTCGGAGAGCCGTTAGGTGCGCACTTCCGTAGATTTTCGCCGTACAATTACTAACCATTAATCTAGCAGTAGTTCAATCGGTACATAAATTCCTGATAATTTCTGTGCTTAGCAAGGCCTACAGTTCAGTATGCGGCTCGCAATGGGTTAATTAAGACAAGTTAATCAAAATCGGGCCAATAGCTTTTTGTCCGACGCATCATAAAAACAGCGAAGATGAGCAGGTCTTGCTCATTGGAAGGCAAATACAGTGACTCACAGCTGGAGCCTGTCAAGCAATTGCGAAAGGAATAAAAACAGCCTCAAATCATGCCTGGTCCCATTTCGAATAGGGGCTGGAAACCGAATTATTATATGGTTTCAGCTAAATTCAGATTATTATTCATTTATTTTACTCCATTTTTTCACTCATTACTACTTACTTACTTATTTTATTATTATTACTATAATTATCATGAGGAGTGTTGTTATTATTCTGTTTTATTTTGTTAGATTGTTCATTTATTCATTCATTTATTATATTTACCAGATCCGGACCTTTCAATTCACCTATTATTTTTTACTGGATTTTTACTTCAAGTTAGAAAAAATACGAAAGTATGCCGAAAAATATTTAGAATAAAGATCGTCGGATGTCTCGTGGCATTAAACTTAAGCCATTTCTCAAAGAGTATTTTTGATCCCATTGCTCTCGTCAAGAGAAATTTGGATTCAGATCAGCAGACGCAAAAGGAAATTCTCATAGAAGGCCTTCAAAACGTTCAGAAGAAAACTCGTACGCTTCAGGGATTTACGATCATTTGAACACCGATCTTTGGACCGAATGCTGAACATTGAACAATTTTTGAAAAATTCTGCAAAAATGGAAGGATACTACATTCAGACGAACCCCAGGCAGGTAACCTTCCTCTTGGGACAAATTCTGATTCATAACGACGCCTTATCTCCTCTTATTTCAGTCTAGTGGGAGTGCTCACAGATGTGTAGCAAGAGCATAGGCAACATACCTCTTCCTTTGCTAAAGGAGCACACTCGTAGAATTGGCTTGAGTTGTCAGCAGCTCGATAGAGCTCCACAGTCATGCACATTCGTCCAGAAAGGGATGTGGCTTCAGCTGCTGAAACGAGAAACACGTCAGTGAAAATTCTGGAGATCATCTTTGTTGGAGCCTTGTGTTTTCGCCCTCGCGCCCTATCTCAAGAGGCATTTAGCGGAACATCTTTGGCGAAGTTTTTGTGACGAGCAGCCGACAAACTGGACAGACCAAACAAAGGCTATTTTTCGGTGCACCGTGTACGAATGTTATTAGCGACAGGCTCTCGAGCACAATACCTTCGCTTGACTCATCTTCTTCTTAAAACAAATCCATTAAAGAATCAGCCGTGCAATCAACATACCATGGATTTTCGCACGGATTTGGTGTGAACCCGTCAATATGGTGGAATTTCTTAGGAAGAAAATTGATTCACTAAAGTTATGTATATTTTATTGTTAATCTTCTAAACGCTTGCAACACATGACGTTTTCGAAAGAGCCTTGTCAAATAATCTAAAAACAGTTGTTCATTTTTAGAATGACACCAACTTGAAAATTGAGAACACTCAGAAATTTGATGGTCAATTTCTATGTAAACAGACCACTTGGCCGTTCCGCATAACCACACCGAAAGCCAGATCATTTATTCGACGATAAAAGAAAGCCAAAAAGAAGTGTATGACCTATCTATCCTCGCTTAAAGGAATCTTCCACGGAAAAAGCTCCGTCCTCATTACCACAGAAAACGATACCTTAGAGGATCGTCGTCGACGATCAAGTGGAAACGTTAGGCCGCTTTAATAAAAGTTCCACCGACCAGCCTCGAAAGGCACAAAAACTAACACACAATATAACTTACTATGCCGATGTTGCAAGAAGAGAGAAACTGGAGAATACTAACGCTTATGTTCCGTTCTTTTTGCTATGCTCACGGGGCTAGGGGCCTAAGGTGCCGTTTTTCTGTGGTAATGGAGGCGGAGCTTTTTCCGCGGAAGATTCCTTTAACCACCACCCCCCCCCCTCCATTTTAAAAATGGTTGTACTTGCTCGTGCAGCAGGTTAACGATAGGTTTCGGTCGACATGGCGCTATGCTTCAATAACTGCATTCTTAAATTCACTTAGATCTTTGAAGATAAACGTCGAAATCAGCTGCCATTCAGTTGTGGCAGTTGAACCTTACTAACACGCCTCAGAAAGTTCAATTTTTCAACTCGAAGCTATGAAGGAGGCGATCTCTTGGACGGGTTTCAGTTGCATCAACGAAAGGTCTGAAGCTGTGCTTCGTAATTTAGGAGATGAACTCTTCACACCACTGAACAGCCACCACGGTCTTTACTGGAGCTCAAATCGGAGCGGAAATCTTGTTTAGACGCAAGACAATGCACTGACAAAAGCCAGTTCAATCACTTGGGCCTAATAAAATAGTCAAGAGCCCCCTTCCTATCCCGCCTTGGCCGGCAATCAACGCTCACCCATATCCAATCGAAAATGTGTGAGGCTTCATGACTCAGAAGGTCAAGCTATTTCACAAGGTCTGAGAACAAATAAAGCAATCAGCAAACGCACCAACGAGTCGGCCTGCACCCTACCGACAACTGCTGTTTACCAAGAACTACTGTGCCTTTCAAATTTTTGAAGGAAGGGCCTAATAGATTATCAAGCTCCTTTTCAATGTACTTTAGCCATTTAATAATCTAGTTTATCAAACGCAGATAAGATCCATTATGAACAGCTGAAACGCTTCCCATCCAACACACACTACTGGAAGCTGTCCAACCATTTTAAGTATGACTTGTAGCTTCTACGAACTCCCTTCAGGCGGTGATTAGGATGGCTGGAGGACGGTGCAGTTTTGATAACGTCACTGAATTACACTATTGGACTAGATTTCTTAGCGTGGTGGGGTGTGGTTAACCGTCCATTCATGCGCCCTGTCATAGTGGACATCGAAATGGAATATCCTTAATTTCAAGCGGTCTCAGGCATAAAGGGATGCTGTTGAGACGGAGACATGAACAATTACTAGACCTAAAGGTTAACACCGAGCAGGGCCTAAATATCGAGAGTGCTATCCACCTGGATTCTTTGATAAGTAGAATCTCATAAAGAATTTGAGCCATTTAATCTGCACAGGTATTCTCTTCACAGAGAAGACCATAAAATCGCTTGGTAAACAAACATGGTTTGGAAATGTTCGGAGCCGAACGCAATTGGTAAATAGCGCATCCAAACAACAGTTTTCTAGACCAGCGCCTTGAAATCGGATGCGGCGCATGTTTTAATGCCGCCACATTGAAAACTAAAATCGGCTGGATTGCCTACTATTGCTTAAAATCCGGATCAGAGTAAACATAACACAACAAGAGGGCAACAAGAACCTAGAAATCGATCCTGAGTTGCTTTGCTTCCAGTTATTTTCCAAGGACACAATGCGAATATTTAGACAGGACATAAGAGTTCTGTAGGCTTTTACAACTCTAAAATCTGACAATAAATTCCCTGAGGAATTTTCTGGACCTAATCAGGAGCTTGGGCAGGAGACGCAGACTAAACGTACCTTACTTAGGGTTCATAAGAATCTTCAGATATGAAATCTGCGATGCATCAGATATATACCATTTTAAGACAAAGTCGAGTATGGTATGGAAATACTACGCTTCATTTTTGTTAAACGGTCATCAGTCAAATTTTGGTAATTAAGGGAAGACAATATCTGAACTAAGGTCAGCAATCAGCTGATTGAATCAGAAAACCCCTCATAACAAAAGGTTTTCAAAATAGAGATGTGAAGAGAACAGTGGAAGCTATTGAATTCATTTTCAGATCAGAGAGCTCTCAGCCACTTTTTTCATAGGTCTGCATTCATGAGGAAATTATAAAATGTAAAAAAAAAACAAAGATAAACGTAGAATATATGAAAGGCAAGCAATTCAGAACGGGAAAAGCAAAACCAAAAGAGGCTCAAGTTCTAAAATAAGAGGTAAGTTCAGCGAAATAGGAGCTAAACAAGCAAATGGTCCAAATGACGAACCTGCTGCGAAAAGCAGTAGAGTTGTATGAAGTCGGAGCATCATTTGATCCTAGTAGACAGTTCGTTTCAACTCTGCCTATGTCTTCGATTTCAGGTGGTCCTGTCCGGAGACCCGCTCAGCTTAAATACCGGACCGTCAACGAGAGCGTAGCTGGACGATAAACCGGTCCCGGTCAGATACTACGGGATGCGTCATATACGTTCCGGAACACAATCAGGAACAGGCCAAATCGAACTCCAGTATATGCGTCATGCCCATGCTTGAGATACACAACATAACGAAGAACTGGAATTAGTGTTTGTTATCTAAGAAAAAGGAAAAATCCAAAACTTTCAATCAACACACTCAGCCCGTCCCTTTGCTATCATTGCCCTGCAGAACTCAACGAAACGGAAAGCTTTGGCATAATAAGTATTAACAACAGGGAGCATCTGTGCAAGCAAGTTGGTCATCCGTTTTCATGAGCACTAAAAATCTACTCAGCTATCACGTACAGCAGCGGTGAAAAGTGTTTGCCGAAACGGTTTTTCGTGCTTCTTTTTTTTTCGCGGGAAAAAAATCAGTGATGGCCCCGAATTTTTTCTTTTGAATATCCTGATTCTTTAAAACTTGAGGATATAAGAACACTGAAAAGCATAGTATATCAATCTCTAGAGGGCGTTTCTCAAGTGAGAAAAGTAATGCACTGAAAATCGTTTCGGCGAACACTTTTGACCGCACTGTACATAGATAGGAGCAATTGGCTGTGTTCTCAATACGGGCTCGTCGAGTGTGAGTAGCGTAACCCAAGTGAACCCTCCCCCCTCTTTCCCAGATTGTGTACAACAGTCCTTATTGCTAAAATCGGGACTAAGCATGCTTCACGGTCTCTCAGCGATTTTCACTCTCTCCCAAGTTCCTCGCCCCCCCCCCCCCGCTCCGCTTCCTAGGCTTCGCCTAGGGATTTCCCTGCGTCTTGCGAAGCGCCCCCACACTCTAGTGGAAACTTCGCTCAACCAAAAGGTGTTGCGCTCGAAGTCCAAATCATTACGTTCGAACTAGTACACTTTATCACTCTTGATGTCTGTAATGTGTCCAAATCCTCAATTTACAATGGTCATCTATAATTTGTGGACCAGCCCACAAACTTTGGAGACGTAACTACTCCATAGATAGGTGAAGCAACATAAATTATTGGTAGCTCTATGGGCCCTTTCAGGGTTCCTGTGGACTGCTTTCTGTACTGCACTGTAGCAGCTCTTTCAATGTGTGATTAGGCTCCATAGAGTTATGTTACCCGCCAATGAAAAGGCTCGCAAAAACTACGTTCGTCCTTAAATTTCGCATACCAGGGTACGTGCGCCCAGACATCTGACTCCGTTCTGAACACAGAATGAAGCACTGGTGCGCAATTCGGAGCATTATCGAAGAGCAATAGAAATCGAAACGTCGAGTACGTAAAAAAATAGGTGAAATTGGGAGAAAGATTGAATAAAGTTTGGAGCAGAATGGACGTCCACAATTTTCACAACACAATTGATTTGACGAACGAATATATTGAGTTCAGGGTCAAAATGATCACGGTCTCTTCCGAAATTCTCTGCACTTACAGGCTGCTTGAGTTTACTCTCCTGAGAAGCAAATTCTTCCATTACTCGTAGGCAGAAAATAACCTGAGCTCTCGCAAAAATGCTGAGTTATGGGCAGAGCTCGCAAAGTGCAAATTGTAGCGCAAATGTCGGAGTAACAAGTGATGCAGGTTCAAGCCCGCTCGGATGAAGAGTTCTGCCCATAAGTCAGCACTCGTGTGAAAGCTATCACATGGCGAACTGAGGCCAAAAACAGCAGTTCACAATCACAGAAGAAGTCAAAAGAAAAAGGTTGGGCATTTTTCGTGATTTTGCAATTTTTTGCACCTCCCTCTTGTACATTGATTTCCAGCAACGAGATGCCTCAACATCAGGTATGTTGCCCAAGCACGAGTTACTGCTCTGAAAGCTTGGGTACCCCTCGACGTCGGCATGCGATATTTCGC